AATTCTTTGTGATTCCCCCCCACAGCCCCCTACTCTGAGAATACCCTCCTCTTTCAACAGTGCCTCAAAAACAAGTAGGCAAAGTTACCTTTCACAATCGCTCTGATTGTTCACGCCTAGTTACAGTTACATCTGAATCCCAAGCTCATGCACTATCTACCCTAACTGACCCTACTGGCAAACCCATTCCTGCCGAACCTCACCCCTCTCTTAATACTTGTACTGGAACTGTTTCTATCCCCCCAAATGCCTGTCCTATTTACAACAAGGACTGGTCAGACTGAAAATTACCTACTTACCTGCCTTGCTGATTATGATGCAGTAGCAGTACAGTGCTGCACTATTCCTCCCAGAGGTCAGTATAAGTCCCATGTCAATATTGCCAAGATTAACTTCTGTAGACATGACCTTCCCCATTAACTTTATATTGGTGGATTGTCCTATCATGTCTGACTATATCAACCCCTTCCTCATCAATGTCAGAAATGTTGGCATTTTGGCCACCCAGCCAAACACTGTTGCTCCACAGCCTGCTACCCTCTATGTTCCCAACATGGTCATGTCCATTCAAATTGCCCTGCAGAGTCACGTACATGTGTCAACTGTGGTGACTCTCATAACGTATTTTATAGGGGCTGCCCTGCTTATCAGCTTAAATGTGTGGTAGCAGTTCTCAGATTCAAACTTTGCCTCACTCTGTGAGGCAAAGTTTGAATCTTCCTCCTGAGGCAAAGAAGCACGACAAGGTTTTTCTCTCTACCTATTCCAAAACAGTCCTTTGCTCTGTACCCCACCCCCACCTCCACAAGATGTTTCTGAATCTCCCCCAGTATCTCTTCCCTCTACCCTGAACCATCCTACTTCTACTCTCCCTATCCCTCAGTCAAAGCCCTTTTCCATTCTAAATCCAGATATTCAATCTCTACCACTTCTCTGATACCTACCCTTCCTCCCCTCACTTTATGCATCATACCAGACAACCTTAACGTCCTACTCCATCTTCATCTTCCATACCCTCTCCTACACCCTCCTTTTCCTCTGCTCCTCGAACATCTATCCCCTCTTCTCCTCCACACAAGAGATCCTTTGTTTCTCAGACCTCCCTGCCCAAATCCCTTCCAGAACCTCTTGACATTCAAAAATTCCTAGACATGACCCAAGAAAATGTTCTGCCCCCTCATCCTCCCTCCAATCCCTCTATTCCTAGTCCCTCTACATTCAAAGTATTTGACAATATCCATCCTCCTCCCCCACAAGTGCCCCCTACCCCTCTTCCTCCTACTCTTCCTCAACAAACCCCATCCTCTCCTTCTCCATGTACACCATTCCCTTTTCGTTCTCCATTATCCTTACCTCCCCTGCCTGGATACTCACATGAATCCCTTCTGTTGCAACAGTGTCCTCCTCCGGATTCCTCCCCTTCTGATGTTCTTCCTGCTACTTCACCTTCTTCTCCAGTCACCTTATCTCATCTCCCAGACTCTGCTCCTTCTCCAACAGCAATCTCTACCCATATTACCCATTGATTATTTCATAATGGCTCTTTTACCAGTTTTTCCTTAAAGCAATGTTACTATAGCTTCCCTACAACAGATACACCCCATTCCATCCAGTTACCCTATACCCTTATCCCTTTCCTTTATTTATGTCTGATTTACATCATTTGCACCCCCTCTTTACCCTTTTCCTCTGAATTTAACATTCTTTATACTAACTGTTAACTCATTTACCCTTTTCACCACAATACTTTACCATACTGGTGTATGACCTTAGATGCCTAGCACAATTATTTGCTTCAAACATTAACCATTAACCATTGAGAACAAACAATTATTTTTTATTTTTTATGAATTTGATGTTTTTGGATTCTATTCATCTGAACTCCTTTTCAGTCGACAAGTTCAAGACTGAGACAGCAGAAAATGTTCGAAATAGGCAGCAGAGTGCCCCCAAAATTGTCAACACAAATCCTCTGGACAGTCTAGACTTCCAAAGTCCAGAATTTAGAGGTAAGAAATGTAATAACCTTTTATAATGTTTTTGAAAGATATTGTATTCCATTTCCAATCCATAAAGATGATAGAGATTATATAATTGGGAAATAAATAAATGAAACAATGACTGTGATAACCAAATAGATGTTCAGCAATTATTTTTCTTTTCTCTCCAACTCCTTTTATCTTTCTTTCCTCCTTTCACATCTAATTACCTTATTTAGGACCTTGCAGTAAGTTTAACCAACAGAAAGTCAAATGATGGCAAAGATGAAGTGTTTATGGTGAAAGGGGAGTGGGTAATATTTATTATAAATAAGTAGATTACTAACTATTTTTATTTGTTTTACTTTGAAAAATTTCAAATTTGCTCTTGTTCACTTTTCTTTTGCTGTTATTTTGTGGCATATATATGCTTGGTATAATGGTGATATTTGCAATGATATTGATGTGAGCTAAGGTGTCTGAATTCTAATCTAATGTTCAAAAGTTCAAGCCTCTCAGGTACTATGATTAGAAACCCAGTTATTCCTAGTACACAGAGGGAATAGCAACCTATAGAACCTGTAGGTTAATGTTATGTTTCACTCAATTAAAATGTCTATTGCAGTAATCCAGTTAATGTAATGTATACATATTTTTTTCTTCAAATATTGAATATTATCTCTATATCAAATTGGTGCTTACAGATTTGGTATATCCAGATTGGAGTACAATGACTAGACCAGGAATAACAGAGAAAGATGGACTAGTAGTAGAAATGCTGAAGGTGGAAAAGATGTTACACAAAATGAATCTGGCCTTCTAAATATATTCATGTGAAAATATGGATGAAAGAGTATATTAAGCTGCATTGTGTTATTTTTTTGTAGATGGAGTTAACCGCCTGGCGAAACAACTGAACATTACTCCGCATCCGAATCATCTTATCACCCTTAAGGCCATAAGTAAGCTCATTAGAACTCGGCTGTCAACAGAAGCACTACAGAATCCAGGAGAGTTTGTTCACCAGGTAAACTATCATATATTTACTTATTGGTATGGCTGTGTGTCTGTGTATTAGTATTTCAATATATATATTTGTATTTATTGAAATTCTCAATGGGAATGGATAGAAGTAGTAAAAAAAAGAAAAGAAAAAATACTTTTTTAAATTAAAGATTTAAAATATATATATATATATGGCAATGCACCCCTGTCGGCATTAGCTCCTTGATGATGATGATGATTGTATATTTATCTATATGAAGATATATATATCTATATCTATCTGTCTGTCTACCTATATATATATATATATATATATATATATATATATATATATATATATATATATATATATATATATAATTATATATATTGTAATTTACCAAAAATTAGTATCATTAGTAAATGAGTTCATAGAATACTCAGACTATGTAAAATTTATTGTAAATTATGTGGAAACTGCAATAACAAAGACTCGTGACCCAAGATAACATAACTACACCTCATCCATCCCCCAGTCTCTCTACTCTCATTCTCTCTACACTCAAAGTGTCTGCCTACATCCATCCATCCCTCCTCCTACTCTGGTCCCCCCTATACTTCTTACTCGTAACACATCCCATTCCCCCCTACTTCATCTGCATCATCCCCCCTTCCTTCCCCATTATTCCCTCTGCTTCCCTCTAGTTACACATGTGGTTCTGTCCCTTAACTGGATTCTGCCACTCATACCATGGCTTCTGTAAGTGTGATCTAATCACCCTTGTTAATCCCTACCTTAGCCCATTTACTCACCCTCTCTACCCTCACCCCTCTTTGCCCCTTTCAGTGCCATCCTATCCTGAACTGCTATGCAACATTTGACTAATCCCCATCTTTACTCTTTTCACTGCTACACCTTTCTATAATGTGTAGCATTTTTATGTTGCATTGTAACCATTAACTTTTATTCCTGTAATTTTAATGAGATTAATATAAAAAAAAATCAGCTATTTACATTCGTTATATAAATGTGGATATGAATTAAATTGAATTTTATCATTGCAGGGCAAACCTTATCCCATCTTTGAGTCAGACCTGGGTTTCGACACAGGTGACAACGTGCTGAACAATGCTGGGAAAGCCTTGAGACTCATGTATATCCATGACCTCCGAGACCTCCAGACCAAAATCAATGAGTGTATAGTTTCAGTGCAGAACATTACTGCAGATCCCAAGACCGACACTAAGCTAGGCAAAGTGGGGCGCTAGTAAGACACACTTTAAAACAGGCCTTTAAAACATTGTGGCAAAGCTAATGGAATGGATAGGTCATGTGTTATTCCAAGCTTGGCTGATGACTGTAAACATTCACTTATTCAGATATGGTTCACAAGGAAGAGTGAGAACCACAACTTGATATAAACATGACTTATTGTGGCTTGACTTTACACAATTGCAGATGTTTGATTAATTCAGAAAACTCCATACCAAAAAAAAAAAAAAAGAAAGAAAAAAAATGTATCCACATAGTAAAATATAAACTTTTCTTATTCTTTGTATGCATTTGTTATTGAAGGTTCATCCTCTTCAATCTGAATAATCTGTTGAATAAAATTTTGTTTTCTTGTTCCTTTAACTTTTTGTAATTATTTTTTTCTGGGTATGTAAAACAAAGTAAAGTCAAACTTTGATAAGCTGCTGTTATTAGTTAACATATGTATACATGTATGTTTCAAGGTTGCAGATACACCCCTCCCCACCCAAAATGTATCCGCATACGTAAGCTTTGCAATCTTATCTTTATTCAGAGACCTCCATAAGAAAATTCAAGTGTAATCTTGTGGCATTACATAAACATGCAGAAATGTTATTTTTATTTAACACCAGATGATTATGTACTTTATATAACCCCTTAGCCTGCAAAATAATCAATTGTTTATGCAGTTTAAATTAACAGCAAAGCGAAATTTGAAAATAAAACATATGCAAATGAGTTGATTTTTATCTAATCGGCCATGTGGTAAAGAAGACATCAAGAAAAAAAGGGTTTTTAATTGGTTTCAAATATTTCTACAAGATTAAGACCAGATTCAAAGCAGTATTTACATTTACAAGTCGCATTCAATGAAGAGAACAATTACAGCATAAACCATAAACATTATCACTGAGTTGTAATGTCAGTCTGTTGCTGTTTCTTTTCAAACGGTGGAAGTCCAAACAGTCGTGAGACGCCTATTCCTCCAAGTGCTGTATAAGAAGAAAAAAAAATTATTATAATTACAATTGTTTTCTATAATTATAATCATTGCCATTCCCCTTCTGAGAAATACAAACTGATGTGAATCCTCAACTTCTGAGGTTTCATTCTTCAGCAAAGGATAGTATATAATTTGACCAAGTTTGTTGTGTATTATATATGTAAAAATATACATATTTTTTTACCTCCTGCAAATAGAAATGTGAAAATCCGTCCAAGTGGATGACTGTTTTTGGAACCATGGTAGACAACATAAGCAGATGCTCCCAGACAGCCTCCTCCTCCAACAAGGCGACACCCTAAACAGTCTTCGGGTTCCTTGCCATTGGATCCACCTCTGTCCGCTAAACCAAGAGTCCCTAAT